ATTCTCCCTACTGAAAACCTCTTTGAATGCTACTGTTCCCATTGACCAACATAAACTCATCCAGACAAAGTCAACTTGAGGAAGAGAGGGGGGAAAAATGTTGTGGTGAGGTGGAGGTCAGCTCCTTCTCCCAGGTTAACAGTGCTAGTATGAGAGAGAATGGCTTTAAGGCTTTACATTGTGCCAGAGGAGGCTAAGGTTGGATATTAAGAAACATTTTTTCTCAGAATGAGCGGTAATCCATTGGAACAGCTGCCCTGGGAAATGGTGGAGTCACCACCCCTGGAGTTTTTCAAGAAAAGGGCAGACATGGCACTGAAGGACATGGGTTAGTGGGCATGGTGGGGATGTATTGATGGTTGGACTTGATGACCTTAGTGGTCTTCTCCATCATCCTTAATTCTATGACTCTCTATATTTTTTAATCTCAATTGGAATAGCTGTGCTTTACAACACCAGCTCCAAGTCCAGAGGATGTGGCTAGGAGCACTGAACCCTTCTATCATCTGGGCACTGCTAAGCAAGAATACCACAGGTAATGCCACCTGACTCTATTGTTGTGATGGGTCCCCAGTAGCTTTGCTTGGTCTTATGGAGCAATCAATGCTGCTTTGCTTGCAGTGACAACCTAAGCACTGCACCCCACCAGTACCATCCAGAACTCTGCTCCTCCAAAAACAGCTTCTCCTTGACGTTACTGTATCTCAGCCTAACAAAAAAGGAAATTGCAGGCTCTTGCTGCTTCTTAATCTCAAGTGCAACTCATGAAAGAAATAAATCTTGCAATTCAGTGCTTCTTCATGCCCAGCAACATCATTTTCCATGGAAGGGTAGGATGAGGGATGCTCCAGCCTCATAGAGAACTCAAAAATGCACAAGTATAGCCATCCAAAGTAACTGGGCTGGGTTTCTGTGTGTGAACTTTAAAGAAAATGAGCTGCAGTCGTTCTTTAAAAGAACCATCTGAATATGAAACAACCAAGCCAGCAAGAAAAGTTAGATTTAGTGTTTATCTAACTAACATAAATCTTATAAATTTTAATAGTGAGGCTGTAACACACTTGAGGCCCACATGGGAGATGAAAGTAGGGAAAAGGTTTCATGGAAAGGCAGCAGGGAGAAATCTGTTTTTTTAATTATGAAGCCAGAAGAGATGCGAGGAGGGCTGTAACGTTAACATCTGCCACAACCCGTACCGCCAGCATCGCGTCTGTCCCAGCTATGAACACCAGCAGCAGCCAAGCTGTGGGACAAGCTTCCTGGCTCCAGCATCCCTGAGCAACAGGGGAACATCTCTGTGCTGAGAAAGGGGTGTGAGGGGTGTGGGATTATCCTGAATACAAGGCTTTGTGGGAGAAATCTGAGTCTGGAGATTGTGGATATGGATCCTAGCTGCAGGAAGCCAGCTATCCACAGGAGGAAAAAAAATGGGTAGACTTGGTAGCAGCAAGGTGTGTCCATGTCCCCTGAGTGAAGAAAGAGAGCATCTGCCCTGTTCTGCTTCTGGAGAAAGAAGGCAAGCAAGTTCTTAGCCAGGATCCTGGAAATCTGCAAGAGAAGCAGTGGATTGAGTCTAGATGTCAATGAACCAAAGCCTGTACTCAGCCACGCTTTTCTAGATCACATCTTCACCATCTGCAAAAAACTCTGAATGTCTCACTTTCAACAAAGACTAGGATTTCTAAAATTACTGTTAATTGCAGGAAACAGCTATCACTGTAACATGATTGTGAAACTTAGCAAGGTTGGTTTTCTTTGTGCTTTTTTTTTTTTTCTCTCTCATTCCTGTTAAGCCAAAAGAGGACTGCAGTCATTTTTATGTTCCTAAAGCAGAGCGGACACAGGAGCCATCGTTCCTCCTGCCAGTGGGAGTCTTTCTTTAGCACTAAAGCAGGCACAGTGTTGCCCATTTATCTGAAAAACACATGAGCAGCAATTCAGCTACACTGGCCATAGGGTTTCAGAATGAACATCTCTGTTTTTTTGGATGGCTTGCTAGAAAGAGACTGTTTCAGGCACTCTGCAGACTCTGGAAGACATTGACCTTTCTTTCCTTGGACTCACTTCACATTTTTCATTTCATGGTCATGTGGGATTATTATCTGTAATTGAAAGTAAAAGTGTAGATTAAGGAAAAAATCTGCAGAAGAACTCAATTATACAGCAAATTCTGCGGCCAAGGAACTAGAGAATTATTCGATCCTTATTAAATGGTATTTGCAAAGTGAATGTTAATTAAAGAAGTCTGAAGATGCAGGCTGGATGGATGAAGACAAACAGAACAATCTCAGCCCGCTGCAAAGACAATGCTTCCCCCAGCAGGGACGGAGCGGATGGCTAGTCTTACTCAGATTGCATCTCTTGAGAAGACGATTTATAACATACAAGACAGGAGAAATTTATTTGCTAACATATGGAAAACATTTATGGGCTCTACTGAGGATCTGGAATTAAAGAAACACAGCTACATATTGTTAAACTTCTAAATGGAGATTTCAGTTCAGAAATTAGCGTTTTTCCCCCAAAGTCAGTGACATTTACTTCCATAGACCTCAGCTTTCTGTCCCCTTAGGTAGGGCTCTCAGAACAGAGGGCTGTATTTATTTCTTTCATCACTATGGGTCTAAAGGACAGCAGAGTTATCAGATGGCAGAGCCCTGTTTTTAGAGACGCAATCCATGTTTCAGAACGATGGCTGGGCTGCCATAAAGAAGGGACAGAAGGGTACAGCTGCCTGAGCTGCAGCACTGATCTGCAAAGCCATTTCCAATTCTGGACCGCAGCGGTCGAACAGATTGCAACATCTTCAAGGAGAGGCAGGACCTTGCAGCAAGGACTGGAGGCAGCGGCTGGGATTTTCAGAGATGCGTAAATGACTGCTTAAATGACTCAATCATGCAGATGCTTCTGAAAATTCTGCCGCACGCAGTCGAGTTTATTCATCCATGTGTGGGAGAGGGGGAGGACTGCAAAGATTTTAATAACTACCTTAGGAAATAAAAAGAGCAAATGCGCTTTCTCTTTAAAACAGAGTGAAAAACCAAACCCTAAAAGTCTATTGCTGTGGTTGGGGAAAAGCGTTTACAGGAGAGTTGTAATAAATGCTTTCTGGGCAAGGACGACCAAATGGACTATCATATACAAGTTTAAAAGGGGTGTAAAGAAAGAATGAAACAGAAGGGTAAAAATAACAGAACACAAACCAACCTCCAAAAAACACTGCACATTAATTTCTTCCAGTCTACACACTTCAGTGTGTTATTTCTGGCTTATGCAGATCTCAGGCTCCACCATCATCTACCAGGATTCCCAGATAAAGCCAAGAACTTCAAAAGAACTTTACTACAGTGAAAGGAGAGATTCAGCCCACAAAAGCCAAGATGCTGGGTGATGAGCACCCAGGTGAGGCTGAGGGAAGAGCCTCAGCATTTTGGAGGAATGAGGGAGTCTGAGTGGGTTGGGTGCATGTCTGTTCAGATTCCCTGAAGTAATGCAACACATCCCAAAAGCCATCAACTTCCTCCTCCTGTAATAAGTACTGTTAGTTTAAAAATCAACATAAAGTTGGGTTTGTGGAGAAATACAGGAGCATTCCCAATGTGTTAACTGGCAGGATTGTAGTTAAATAAAATAAAATAAAATAAAATAAAGATCTCCTTTGCTCTTTCTGCAGGCTGCTTTTCATTGCTTTAACATGGAGCATTTCCATGCTTCACCCAGTGAGAGCTGGCTTGTGGATGCCCACGCATTCAGGGACCATCCTCACTCTGACAACAACAGAAGAGCCCTGCTTTGGGGACAAAACAGCACAAATTGGTAAACTGGCCTGGCTCCAGCAGGGCCTCCCCCAGCTCTGAGCCTATAAATCACCCCTGGCAGGTAGCTGGGAAGCAGCTGCTAATGATGGGTTTGCTGCTGAGCACAGGAAGTCACCTTTTAACCCTGCCTGCTGTTGTTTGCCTCTGGAGCCATGACAAAAGGACGGGCCAGATGATGTGCCAGCAGCTGGGTCAGAGCACAGCACAAAACCCTGTCCCGTGCCATCTCACTTGGCCTTCCAAGCCACCTTTTGGCTGGATGGGTAGCACTTTTCCCCACCTTGAGCCCTGCCCTGCTCCCTGTAGGTGCAGAGGAGTGTCCCAGAGAAGGACCTGAACGAGGACATCCCACCTGGCAGCCCACCCCCACCTGCACCACACAACAAGGACATTTATCGTGTAAGGAAGGGGGGTTGTGAGTGAAGCCAGTAAATAAGTGTAATAAAACAAAGTATCCATTGTGAGAGTTGTTTTTTTCAGTCCATGGAATATCAGTGATCAGATTACAATTTCATCTGACATATTCACTGTTTTTGTTGTGGGTTTTTTTTTTTTTTCCCTTCCTCTTTTTCAGTGTTCAAGTGCAGCAGGAACAGAAGGTGCTCCTGTTTCAAAAAAGCTCCAAAACACACTTCAGACATTACCACAAATTCAATATGAGCAACTCAGCCACCACTGGTTGGGTATCTCGCGTGCCAGCGTGCCTTCCTCCTGCTGCCTGAACTTTCTACCTTCACGTACGCACAGAACGCCTTCAAGGTTGACTTTTGTTCCCAATAATAAAGGCAATTTTTCAGAACTTCATTTCCTTGACTGCACACCTGAGAAGCAGCTACCTACTGTACTTATATACGGAGAAGAACCGCTCAGACCAAGGCGCATTAAACTGGAGGGACATTATTTGCTCACTTCCAGCCCTGACAACATCTGCTCTGCTCTGTCATGCATTTCACGTGGCGATGGGAGATCGAGAGAAACCCAACACTCCTGCAGGAGAAGTTTACCTTCTGCAGGGTTTATGCGTCCATCAAATAAAATACACCCACTGTACAAACGTAATTAAAGCCGGAAGCCAAACCCAGGTAATAAAACAACAACAACAAAAAAACCCTTAAACCTTTCAAACCTGACCGTGTAAAACCAGAGCACAAAGAAGAATGACCTGAAGGGAGATGCACTTACTGTGAAGACATCATCGTCGCCGACCTCAGCCTCGTTGTGAAGCGTTGAAGAGGAAGTAGTAGACCCTAGAAATAAACAGTTTTTTTAAAAATATGACACCTCCATACAACTTTTCCAATTGTTATTATTACCAGGCTTGGAGGCTAACAACTTTATTTGTTGGATAGATGTAAAAAACGGCTTTTTTAGGAAGAAAAACCACCTGCTGTTAGCTGGGTTGGAAAGGTAAAATGTGAGAGTGTTTCTTGACATGTAACTACACGGCTGCCAATGCTAATTAACTCTGCTAAAAATAGCAGTCAGCATTTCCAGTTGCAGAAGGCTTTCATTTCTGAAGAACGGTAAAGCTACGCGCTGATCGGCGCTTAGGGCCAGACCCTCAGCTGTCAAGAAACCACTCATGAGTTATTCCTCAAGAATGCTCTAAAACTGGGGCAGAAAAATTACTTTTTATTGAAAAACAAACCTTGCTTTGAAAAGGAAGTTTTTGATTTTTTTTTTCTTCGTGTAAATTAGCAAGTTATTAAATACAGTTAAACATCTCTGCTATCAGCTATTCGTCACAGAATCATCTTTCCCCATGTAAGCAATGTATCTGAAAGGAACTGAAATTCATAAAGCCATAAAAAAAGACTGAAAATACTTGCAACTGCCTCAAAAAGTGGGAAATTGTATTCTACATCTCTGGCCCATCATCTCTCCTCTCACCCCATGGGTGTCCCCTCGTTGAGATGCTTCATTATACTGGGTTGCAGCCACGCCACATCCCTAACTAGAATAGCTAAATGCTTTGTAGAACCTTCATTCTGGAAATTTTTCCTAAATAATGTACTTTATATAATGCTAAACTGTACCAGCCTTGGCTGCATTCAGCTGTGTAACCATGAAGACGTGCAGAGCCAAGTGTGGAAGCCCACTTAAACACTAAGTAATGTGAAAACATTCAAGCAGTTTGCTACATTAGCTTTAAAATAAAGAAATGAAAGATTTAAAAAATCTAGATTTTCTCTACAAAGCTGCCCGGGATTACTGTACTTGTGCACAAAACTTACAGACTTTCAAAGCAACACGAAATAATCTACTGGATAGAGCAGTGATTTCATGAAATGAAGCTTCAGATGCACAGTTTGCCCTGCTTAATATTACCTGCTGAATTTGATGAAGCAAACAAAAAAACGAACAGCAAATGAAAGCCAAGGCCTGACACTGTGTGTGCACGTGCCAGTGATTGTTTTTCATTCAGAAAGCCTTATTTGGAAGTTAAGTAGGAGCACATTCATGAGGATCAGTCTGTGCTGTTAATGTGATAAATATAGAGTTGCTGATTTTGAAGTATCTGAGATGCAGAGGAACTTGGTTTTAAATACTTCCACTGTAAAATGGATCAAAAAGAGAAGAATAGGAGTTGCCATCCATGTACTGGGTGCATCTCCAAAATACTGCTCGATACAACTGAGCTAAAATCTTTAAATGTTGCTTGGCCATGCGTCATTTCTATAAAATGTCACTTTTGTGAATCAAAATGCTTCCCGGTTTTAGCAAGCAGGAAGAAAGCAGAGGGTCAGCCATGATTTGTTCAGGTCAATAAACAAACAGGAAAAAGCGAATGGCCAGTAGTTGAAAAGATCCTTCCTCAAAGCAGGAAAGAGCCATGGAGGATTAATTCCTACTCTGTACCTATCACTTACATGGTAAAGCAAGGACAGGGCACTGAGCCCCTGCATAAAGAGGGATGGCTAAAAATCAGAGAATCAATTTTCATGTAAATAAAATCAAGTAGTATTGGGTTATAGCTGTATTATGACTGATTGCAGCGAGCTGTGAAGAGGAAGAATTTATGACCTCTTCAAAGCATGGGCAATTCAAATGCATTTTTAAAGAATTACCAAAAAAAAAACCCCAACAAACAACAAAGTCTTCAAGCACAGCCATTCAGCCAAGCGGACACAGACAAAAGTAATTACTGCAAAAACAAAACAAAGTTTTAATTCAGCTTCGTGCAGGAATTCATTCTCTGCTGATTTAACAAAGACTCAGTGTAAGTGGGTTCGGCTACACATAAAGGCGAGCCTGGGCTGTTGTTGTCCCTATCACGAAAGCACAGCCTATCAAAAAAGCAGTCATAACCACACAACAACAAACGGGTGAGATCCCGGCAGATCAGATCAGACAGGATGAAAGAGTTCTTAGGCGTACATCCCTTCTCTCCTTAAGGAATGAAGAGACACAGCTCTCTGAAGTGAGCCTGCCTGGCACGCCTGGAAGCACTAAAGAGACTGCCAAGCCCAAGGACTGATATTCAACCCTGACATCTTCCCATCTCCTTGCTTTGAACACACTTCAAGTTTCCACTCGCCCTGGTACCTTCAATGAGGTCCTCGATGGCTTTCCTCACGCCTCTGTCAAAGGCTCGAGCGTCGGCGGGGCTCTGAAAAGTGAGCCCGAACTTCCTGTTGTCCACTTTCCAGTGGTGGAAGGTCGGGTTCGCCTTGGTGTACACCAGGTCCTTCTTCACGAAGCACTCTAGCACCACCTGGGAAAAGGAGAGGAGCAAAGTCACTTTTCCCATACCAAGGACACAGATGTCACCACTTCAGCCTCAACCAGCGCCTTCCTCTCCCCAAAAGCAAGCCAAGTCATGATTCGCGCTATGCTGGTAGAGAGCACATCCTTCCCTACTAAATTATGACTAATAAACACCAGATCCTTTAATTGTTCTCATAAGCATCACACATTCATCGTTTTATTAGGCTTTGAGTAGGTACTTTTTGCTGGGGCAGATTTAGGAGGTGCCATTACACTCCCCCACTTCTCTTTCCTCCCTCGTGCCCAGCAACGCTGCTGTGCCAAAAATCATTTCTAGGGTGATGCTCAAGGAGAACAGAAACAGCTTTTAAGTCTTACCCTGTTTCCCCCAAACCATAAGCATTGCTTGAAAATAATGTTTAAAAAAAAAAAAAGCACCCTAAGCAAAACAGTAACGCAAAAGATGAGCTGCACTTTAAACAGCTTTAAAACACCAGAACTTTTGAAAGCAAGGCCATTTCCATCTCAAATGATATATATACACTTTTTCCCAAGCACTCAGCTTCCTGAGCCTGTGTGGGGAGCCTATTTTTAAGCCAGCCCATCTCTTCCTAAGAGTGGATTTCAGAAGAATCGAATATATAAAAATGCGGTAACAAAATACAACAGCTAAACCAGACTCTGCAAAAAAGGAAGAGGCTTTATTAATTTGCTTTGTACGGGAAAGGAAAGTGTCTTTTTTTTTTTTTTTTCCTCCAGCTAAACAGCTACCAGAAGAAACCGAGTGCGTCAATTCATAAGAGACAACTTGTCTTCATATTCTCACCCTGCTTGTTCGAACCTTGAGCAGCACGCAGCATAAATAATTCATTGCCATTTTTAAAGTCTTGCGCTGCATTACTCAGTGCAATGTGACTGGCTTCATGGATTCTTTACACTTCAATTCACTTCTCACATAGCCCTGCTAGATGTGAGAAAAACGCAGGCCTTTTCTCAAGGAATCAGAGGGGGGTTCTTTGCACACGGATGTTGAAAATTTACCTCCTCGTGGCAGCATGACGGCTGGACAGTGAGAGATGGCAACTCAACAGCCTTCTAGATGAGGATGGGATTGCTTCGTAAATTTGGCTCTATCTGTACATGCCTTTTTTATTTTTATTTTTTAAATCTTGCACAAGAACACAATAGCATCAGATACGGGATAATTCTCATTATAAGAACAGACAAAAGTTGAATTAGGTTCTATTACCAGTTTGTCTTTCTGCCTTTCACCATGGATTAGAAATCCACTTCTTCCATTGCCCTCTGGGTACGTGACCTTGCAGACGCCAACTCTACTGAGGCCGCCTCCTTCTTGCGGCAGCCATCCCCCACTGGAGTCATCTCGGGTCATAACCACAGCTTTGACTCGCACAATATAGCTGTCACTGCAATGGCAACAAAACAAAACAGAACCTTTTGTGAGCATCACACATTCTCAGGGTGTTTTTCTTGAGGGCGGTATTTAGGCAGCACCGATCCGATCGCAGTGCATTTGCAGAGCTTGTGGCCAAGATGGAAATCCGCCTCTGCAACGCGTGGTCTTGAGTGCTCAAGACCCCCATAGTGAAGAGACCCACCAAACGACAAGGAACGGCTCCACTGAGTTTCCCAATGTCAACACAGACATCAAACAAGCCGTGGTATGCCATTAGAGATGGGAACGAGGAGAGCAGGACGAGCCAAGTGGAGCCCCAAGGCTAACACCCACATGGTACGTGTAAGGGAATTGGTCTCCACAGCGGTGGAAAAACCATGGAGCTCACACAACCAGGAACTCAAGGGAGCCAAACAGAGCCTGGAAGATGGCCCACAGAAATTCCCCCATAACCACGACAGCATTGCAGTAAAAACACAACTGTGACTCCAGCTAGTACCTCAGATGGAAGGAAACAAGAATCACCTCAGCTCAGGTCATCAGGACCATGAGAACAACGCCATACTCTTAAAAGAAGCTCCACCAGCTCTTTGAAGGGCTTTCAAAGGCAGTACATCATAAGCTCACAACAACAAATTTCTGGAAGAAAATGCTCATCATGAAAGGTCAAAAAAGAGTCTCTACCATGGGGGCATCTACATCTACCTCCAGTCCCCCAGGGGTGCTCCTCGGGAGGGAAAAGCTCAACCTGCACCCATTTGGAGGACAGATCAAGAAGTGCAAGGGGACTTGCCTGGGGCCAACCTCCTGCAGCAGGGCCAATCTGGCAAAAAACACCCTGAAGTTCCCTCTTTGCCCATTTTATTTTATAGATGCTCCTTCCTTCTTGCTGTACCAACACAATGAAGGCTGCTAACCTCTCAGCACAGCACACACACACGCTTAAATTTTATCTCTATTGCTCTGAGGACTTTGAGCAGTACGATAGGAAACTTTCAGAACACTCAGATATGCTACCTGCACTGCACTTGGCACGTGCCATGCACTCTCAGAACCAAGAAACTAGGTTTTTAACAATATTTCTGATCTGAGTCCTCAACACAGTGTTCTGGTACAGGAAATGAGGCAAGCATGCCTACAGAGGTATCCAGTTACCTTTGCATTTCCTAGACTTCATCCATGGCAACTTTAATCCCTTGGCTTCCCGATGCTCAGAATTGAGTAAAACACTCCAGCTGATTTCCTACAGTGTAAAACCTGAGCTGCTTCCATCCAGGATAACTTCTCTTCTTCTGTGTACCTTTCCCTTGGTCTATATAGATAAAGAACAAATAAAAACAACCATGCCTTTCTGCCTCAACCATCTCCTGTCTTCCAAGGCTCAGCTTTGGTCTTGTTTTTACACTGATTCCTCAGACTTCTGGAGAAGTCCCGTTAAATTTCAAGCTTTCTTCTGAGGTAAAAGGCTTTAAATACAACCATCCTTCCCATCCACCTGCAAAAGCCATCCAGACAAACTGCTGCTCCTTCAACCAGGCTTGAAAATTGACACAGAAAGCTGCATTGCAGGTGGCATTTACTACCCCAAAGGGAGCCCCTGGCTGTCCCAGAAGTAATGCTGTCTTCAGTTACTTTGCTGCAGAAATCATCCACTTAAAGGGGGAAAAAAACATAAATCAAGAAATCAGGAGTTACTTAGTACTTTGTAATTTCCACCAATAATTTGCACTTCTCATTTCTCTATGCTCCCAGTTATTTTTGCATACTGGTGGACACCTATGTGTATAACTTAGTTGCTCTGATCAAAACGCTGCCCATTATAACCACACTGTGATGGGGCACTAAGCCATCAGCTTTTCATTTTCCCATCCAGGCTGATACCACAACCTACAGCTCTTTTACAGCCTCTGCCATCAGGACCACCAATTTTATCCATGTGCCCAACATTTGCGTGGCCAGATACGACACCAATTCTCCCAGTTTGAAGAGCCACTTCCTATCAAGCAAGGAAAGCTAGTTTCCATCCCCTATCACAGCAAGAAGACCTCTGCCCCTTATTAGAAAAGGACCTTGTCCTGCAGAAGGGTTTGCCTTTGGCAAGGTAAGCAGGGTGCAGCTCTGGCTCCATTCATATAATCGCATGGCACACTTTGCTACGTGATCAAGTTATTGGTGACACTGCACTACCCTCGGAGCTTGGACCCACTCTTATTGGGCTCCAGCCACAGACACACATTTCCTAATGTGTGATTGATGCCAAGGGACTTAGGAAAATATAAGAAAAAAAGGAAAAGTGAAGGTTAGGGCTTGACAGCGTGGTGCAGTCACTAGATCAGCACTCAGAAGGTGCACAATGAATTTTCAAGGCTTCCCTCAATGCAAAATCTTGTCTTCAGTTTCCATCCATAAGCCTAGAATAGGCAACACTCCTTTCCTTCATACCAGTGTTGATAAATGCTAGAGAGGTATTCAAATATTTCAGGTCCATATACGGACCTTGCTTCCTTTGCACAGAAGCTGTTTATTTTCCTTGAGATTTAACTTTATGAGAACACACCAAAGCTCTGACTACTTGCAAGCCATCAACTTCTCCCAAGCTCAGGACCAGCCTGCAGAATCCAGGGCACCCTGCTGGCTTGGAGCACCATGAAGTGAAGCAATCACACTGAAGCCCGCCCCATGCACTTTCTGATGACAGCCAGGCAATTCAGCTATTCCAGAATGTGCAGCAACAAGGTGGTGAAAATATTTGGCTTGTTTCTGTTAAAGAAATACTGTCACTAGGGTTAGATAATGCATATCTTTCAGTTAGAAGCAAAACAGCTGAGAATCCAGCATTAGCCTTAGTTCCCCTCACTTTACTGGCCTGCATGCTACGCCTTTCAGGCAAACTATTCTTAATTATGCTCTTAAATGGAGTCCTTTGCTATCTTAACCCTACAGATTTGTCTTCAGCAGCGTTAAGAGTTGCAGAGGAAAGCATCTGCAGATCACCCAGCTGCATGGCAGCTGGCCAGCTGCTGCTGGGGCTGTCTCAGGTTGTTAGATGGCTCCACCCAGAACAAAAACCAAAATGAACCCAGGGAGGAAAGGTAGAGCAGCAGGCCACGTGCTGCTTTTATTGGAAGGGAAGGGGAACCCTTTAAAAATTATAGCTTGTGGACGTGCATATGTATGTAGAAAAATATATTTTAGAAAATTGTGTAATTGCTGCTCTGAAGGATATGGAGAGTTCTCCTAAACATGAAGTGTCTCAATGATTATCCATAGACCAGCTTTTTCAAGGGATTCGTGCATCTAAGAGACTGACCATAGTGACAGGGAATAGCAGTGCTTTCCTGCAGCGTGCTAGAACTGCTTGGTGCAGTGCAGCCAGCACTGTCTATTGAAGTCTATGGTACTTAAACAACTGCAATGCAGCAAGGCCAATGGGGAAAAAGCCTTGAGCCTCGTTAAACATCTGGCTTTGACCCAGTGGCGAGTAACTCCTTTGTCTGGAGGGTGGGAACTGCACCTGTCAGGTATGAGGATGGAAGAATAAGATGTCTGGGCCTAGCCTTCTCCTACAAGCACTTCCAAACACTTGCTGTAATTTTATAGCATATTTTTTCAGAAGGTGACAATTCTTCTCTAGCAAGGCTGGTCAAGCAGAGCATAAACTCACTAACTTCCACAGAATTATAAAGGCTGGAGAAGACCTCCAATATCATCAAGTCCAACCGTCAACCCATCACCACTTTGCCCAATAAACTTGAGACATGACTGTCCTACCATTGGCATGGCAGCATGAGTTGGTGCCCTTGGCCACTGCACTTGAACAAAGGAAGAGTCAATGAAGTTGAAGGAACATCCATACTGATGAGGAGAAAAACTTAATTACTCACTGGACCTTATCACCACAAGATTTTCTGACGCCAACTACAAGGATGTATCTGAGGAATATCATCTCTCAAATTCCATGCCAATGCCTCCTCAGTACTTTCTCCCCTCTTGGCCTTCCAGCTTGCAAAGCCACGAGATCTTCACGTCTCAGGCAGAATGGTAACCACCACACATCAAAGGTCCAACCTGATATTTATTTTCCGCCCCAACTGCCTTCATTCTTAATTCCCTTTCATGTTCCTACAGCAGACCATGTCCATCATGGTCCCTATCCTCCTCCATACTTCCATCACCACCTGCAGACATCCCACTGGAGAGCTCAGGTGTGCCTCTATGCTGGACAGATACCAGCAGGCAGCAAGCAGCAGCAGCACTAAGCTCTCTTCCACCAAACAAGCACTGAAAGGGTTTCAAAATTCAAACTCTTGTCTTTAACACTTCCACATTCTCACCAATTCTCATGCAAATAGGGCACCACCTATCTCACCATGACAAACTATCATTTCTGGAGCCCAGTCTTCTTGATTTAAAGCTTGCTTGGTTCTTGAACCTTCTAGCAAGGATGAAATAGCCACAGATTACAACTGCTATCTTCCTCTCAAAACCACAAGGCAACTCTTTGTCAGAAAAAAAAAAAAAAAAAGAGCATTTTCAGCACACAGAGCTACAGCAAAATAAAGTTTGATATTTCAGTACCATTTACCTGCAGGTCTGACACTTTTTCATTAAAATATCAGCAAGAAAAAATGCCATCTGTGCCATTTTGACCAAATCCAATGTTAAAGTGGAACCTGTGTAAAAGCCATGAAAAATCTGCCCAGTTTCAATACAAGGTTATCCATCTCAGGACTTGATGATCTTTAAGGTCTTTTCCAACATGAATGATCCTACAATTCTATTCTATGACAGGATTTGACAGTGTGTGCCCAGAAAGTTGTTCTTGTGCTCCTCACTGCATCCCACCACGACTGCAGCACCGCTGCAGAACTGATCTCCAGTATCCTGTCGTTCAAATCCAGCGCTGACAGAATAAAAAGTTGCTCAAAGCAAGAATAGGAGATCTCAGCACACCTCTCTCCAGCACTGCTTGCCCAGTCCTGCAGCACACGTGTCCTGCGGCACTTTACC